TATATATATGTGTGTGTGTGTGTACTTTTGTATAAAGTTCTTAAAGTGTACTTTCAGTAAAACTAAAAAATATAGCTGCAATAACCTTTCTAACATTTATATTTTTAGTCACCAGTCGTCATGTTTTTTATGACTCGCTTCCTAATTTTGTTGAAATGTTTTCCAGTATTTTTATTTACCAGTTCTAGAATGTACTTCACTCACATTTTTCTTTAATTAAATACTATTTAGTGTTAAGTCTTATTTGGTATTTAGTAGTATTTTTTGTCTTATTTAGCAGTATTTAGTTTGTTGTTACTGCCAGATCTTAAATCTTTAGCTATAATATAATAACTATCTAAAGACTATCAAGGCCGTTTAAGGTAGTTATTTATTGTCTGGTAAGCAAATTAATAAAATACTATTTTGTTTAATAACGTGAAATAAATATGGACTATTGCAATACAGTTCAATAATGCAAATAAAACTTTTTTCATTTTGAAAATATTAATTTAGTCAGTTCGTTTTTGCGTTTAAAGTATGTGATTATTTTAAACTTTTGTTTTTGAAAATTATTCCAAATATTGATATATCTGTTGTTATCGGTGGTCTTAGCATTCACTTTAAAAAACATTCAGAAGTATTTTGGTGATCAAATCATTCTTTAGTTTTTGCTTTGTTCTAGGTTCTTTGTGTAACAATACAGTAAACATGGGGTTTTAAAGGGGAGTTTTGTGATTACAATGAAAAGCATTTTTACAATAACTGACCTAATAATTGTGCATTAAGTCAATAACCATCACCACTTGTTTTCCCAGTGATGCGGCTGACGAAACCAACTCTTTTCACAAACTTGCCGGTGACTTGTGAGGATCGAGATCTTCCAGGTGAGCTCAAGTGTAAAAACAGAGTTAGATGTTCTGTTTTCCAGGCTTGTGTTTTTAAACTACTGCATCTTTTCTCTTTAATATGGACGGTCTGAGCCAGTGAAGTGTTTTACATCAACGAGAAATGTATTGATATGCAATTATTCACTTCTCAAACAGCCACAGTCAGACGAAACATAACTAAAATATTTGCACATGGTTTTCAATTTATCTACCTAGCTGGACTTGCATTAATAAAGATGTGATATCAGGTAATAATGTGCATTTGGTATTTGAAGGAAAGCATCTGCTGTAGCAAATTAACAAAGATGGCAAACAACCAAACACAGTCAGGATACATGATGTAAAAAATATTGAACTCAGCAGAGTTCACAACTCATTTGCTGTTCTGTTAATCTTAGCTTGCTCGTTGCAGGGCTCATATTTAATAAAATGAAAAAGAAACTCTTAACACAAAATCCTGTTTACTTTTTTGAAAATGTCCAGTTGCTGATTGGACTGAACAATTTTAGAAAATAATCTAATTGCAACTTTTTTATCTATAAGTTGCGGTTGCGATTTAATATGCAATTTTTTTAAATATCTTAAGTATTTTTCAGTAATCAGAAGCAACAAATCAATCTGTTTTATAATAAACAAAGTAAGATTTATTTAAAGCACAGATTACAATAAAGCAAATATATCTGTGGCTTTATCTTTTTCACCATTTCTAATTTTTCTTGTTTCATGAAACGTGATAGTAAACATGTTAAGTGAACTCCCTAAACACTGTCTGAATTCACAGGACAGTCTATAAATAAATAGAAAAAATAAATACAAATATAAAAAATAAAGCTTTCCAGCCTGTAAAATCATGAAAAAATAAAGTGCAACAAACATAAAGAGAACTAGACATGGGTTTTTACGATGTAAAAACAAGTGTGTACTGCCATGTAGCATGTCATTGCAGCATGGCTTTGCCTGCAGCATTGGACTTGCAGAATGAAGTGTGACCAAGTTCAACTGTGTTTTCTAATTATTATCAGTCAAACACCTGCCAAGTCAGCAGGTGTTTGTAATTAGGGTAATTGTGTGACAATATAATAAACTGAAATTATGTAGTTTTACTGAAACAGTATGTTCATAGCTGGGATTGAACCCTGATCTCCTGAAAGAAATCCCACAGTGTTCACCATGACACTATAGGAGCTGTGGCAGAGGACAATCCCAGGGCTTGGATTGTATGTTTGCAGAAATAGTTTACCTTGCCAATGCAATTATTGACACTAAGCTGCATAATATTACAGAAATAGAGCAGTATTAAGACAATATTATAGTAAAACATCAAAATACAATCATATTAGTACTGTAAACACTGAATTACTGAGTTGAAATATTAAACTATGGTGCAGTACCAAGTTGAGTACAGCATGGGCCAGTATTGGACAAATAAAAGGCTCTATTGACTGCTATTATAATTCATTAAACATTAATATTTCATAAACTAAAAGTTTTACAGGCACCAAAAGGCATAGCCATCATTTGGCACAGGGGCTTTACAGAWRWAAATKASAATGGCAGCTCTAGGACAAAGTATGCAGGAGGAGAAGCGTGCCAAAGTTGAGATGACTTGGATGGGAAACGAATCACAATAGTAAACATCACAACATATAAACATCTGCTTTAACAAACTCGTTTTCTAGGAAAATCAAACTCAAGTCACTAGATTACATCATCACCCAACATATTTGAGCTATAGGAGAGATGTTAAAGAGAAAACAAGTGAAGAAAAACACTAAATACGTTTAAAACTGCAATTAAACTTAATGAAATAAAAATAATTTTATGTCTTCAGTGCTTAGATCCACGTTACATTAATTAAATTAGTGATAATCTTAAATTTAATCCGCAGACTGTTAGATATAACGAGACAGGGAGGGACGAGGTGAAGCTGATCTGTGAGTCAAACACAGCTGGGTCCAGAGATTAATTTTACACAGACAGTACCAGAGAAAAACGTCACATTAAATATTACATCTCGCTTTGTAGACCAGGTAGAAGCAGTTGCAGCTTTTCGTGACTCATTTGCAGCGGTCTCCTCTCAGCTGACAGCAGCCGGGTGTGTGTGTGTGTGTGTGTGTGTGTGTGTGTGTGTGTGTGTGTGT